AAAAGTAAATCAGAGACATATTTATAGTAATTATGCAGGCAAATTTGCCTGCAAATCTCTACCAATTAAGGGATAGTTTATCCCAAAAAGAGAGACAATTTTTAATTGTTTGAAGTGTTTTTAATATATTATTAAGTAATTATCATGATTACTGATACTAATACAATTTGATTTATTATTAAATAGTATTAACCCTAATATTAAAAAAATAAAAATAAAAACTGTCCTGTAAAAGACCTACTTTAAAAAAAGTTCGTTTAAACCTTATCAAATTTACCACTGTTAAAGTCAGTATGAATATATCTGTGTTATGAATTTGCCTATATAAATTTAAATTGATTAAAATGAGATCATAAAAACTTATGAATATTTTATAAACAACATAGTGAAATGAGTTGAACCATATATCTGAAGCTCAATAATATATAATTTAAGTTTAAAGTATTAGTTTATAAGATAATTATATAAGTTTATAGAATAAATTTTTAACCTACCTCACTTAAAAAATCAAGCTTATTTGCTTTTGTTTTTGAACTAGACAGTTTCTTGGGTACAACAATTGTGATTTTTCATAATTACAATTTTCCATATGCCGCCCAACCAGGTTGTTATATTTATAAATCAAAAATTATCTGCTATTATTTTTGAATATTATCTAGTCTTAAATTGAAACGCTTTCTATTTGCCCATCCTCTTGTTGTTACATTAGTCGAAAACAGATATTATGTTTAACTTATATTTTCTAATTCAAAATTTTTTTATATTATCACATCTTAATAAGACTTTAAACCTTATATAGGATCCAAATAATTTTTTGAGTATTTATGTCCTGATTTGTGAATCGTTTTCTACTTAACTTTGTATTGTGAACCACTAATTAATTCCACTGAATAATAAATAATTTTTAGATTTACAATTGATCAGCTTTTAGCTTTTACACTTCATGCCTTGTATATGTGAAGTTCGATACCTAAAATCTTGATTTAATAAGTGTAATTATTTCATGTTACATACTGGTTTTAACAGAATTGCTAAGATTAATCGGTGAAATAACTAGATCCGACTGATGTCAAATGCTAATATGTAAGGTATAGTTTTAAAATATGTTAAATAATTTTATGTTTACTCCTGTGATTACATCACATGTTCTTTTATTTAAAAACTCTATTTTATTTTATAAACAGCAAAAAAAACTCTTACTTCAGATATTAATTAAAGTATTTACTTCTGAATACAGGCATATGGGTAATTCTTAATCTATCAATCTATTCAGATTAATAAATGCTTTTTTATATTTTCTATAAACTTACAATTGGATTAAGTAAAATCACAGGTCTGCCAAATTTTTGTGCCATGACTATTCCACTCATTAAAATATGTTTAATATGCATAAGGAAATCATTTATTTAATGCTAAAGAATTTACTTATCTTCTTATAATCAAAGTTTACTTCTAAGATCCGCCCATTATTAAGGATAAGCTTTTAAATCATCAATACGCAATTCCTTGAAATATATTGTGAAACTTCTAAGTACATATATTTTTAATTAAGTTTAAAATTAATACTACTTTATTCTTAGTTATAATTACCTCTGTTTAATACAAAAATAATATCTTTATTTCTAAAATTTAGATAATATCCAAATTTTAATAGTATAATAATTTGATTTAATATATCAAGTGAAAATTTTTAATAACTAACAGTATGTGCCAAAAAAAGTTGTGCGGTGCTAGTCATTATAGTTTATATAATACATGCTTTATCATATGACAGTAGCGTAGTACATATAATTGTGTAACATTTTTGCATAAATATTGATTTACTAACCCTAACTTATTTATTTTCTTACGGAAGATTGTTAAGAAGACTAAATTCATTTTGGCTTTCCATTAACTATGAATACATAAGTATCGTACTAGAAACAGTATTTTTACCAAGATTCGCTCTATTACTAGTGATTGTAAAACCAGCTCTTGAAAATGCCCTTTCACTAGAAACGCTTGAAGGTTGGATACTCAAATAATCGCGTGCTATTTTACTCAGTATTGGGAATCTAAATGATAATGATTCTCAGAATAGTATTCCTTTATTTTCTTCCTTTTCATTATTATTATCAAACTCTTCAAGTAGCTTATTTTCATATAATTCTAACTCATATTCTATTGTATCCATACATTTTTGTTTTTTTAAAATTTTTTGTTTAGAAAATAAGAAATTAGATGTAGAATTAATAATACTAATTCCAATATTTGAAGACCCAACATTCGAAGAATCTTCAGCATTAGAAGAATCTTCAGCATTTGAAGATTCTGCACTTGAATACTTAATTCTATTAGAAATAATCTTCTGCCGAACATTATCAACAAACAGCTCTATGTTACTCTCACTATATTTACTGACTTCAATTAAAGTTGCCTTTAAGTAATTCAACTTATATCTTGGGTCAAGGACATGTGCAATTATTACATAATCGAAGATTACATTCCAGTATTTATCAAACTTTTTTTTCATTTTATGGATCATGTCATTATTCCTAGCTTTATTAATATGCTGACTAATTTCAAGTATGATTAATATTGTATTAGAAATTGAATTTGTTTGTTCTTTAGAAAGAATTAAAGTTGCACACTCGAATGGTTTAAGAAATTGGCAAAAGGATTCAAGAGCTAAGAGGTCTTCATCGTCTAAGCAGAGAGGCATTGATGATTCTTTTAAGCACATCTCAGAAATTGCTTTATGTAAGTAAATGTATCTTTCAAACATAGCCAATGTGAAATTCCATCGCATTTCTACTTCAAGAATAGGTCACAGAAAACTTAGATTAACAATTTGACAATATGACTTCAAAATATTTAATCTGTCACTGCTTAAAGGATTAGCTAAGTATTTCATGACTTTGTGAACCTTTTTTTGTAATAGACTTATTTCTTTTAAGCCATCTTTTACTATTAGATTAAGAATATAACACATACATTCTAAAAAAAAAAAGAATTTTAACTCTAATAAATAAGATCAAAAAATAAAAGATAATAAAAAAATCGAATCTATTGACGTTGTATTCGGCAACTTATTTTGGAGCAATCGACTTATAGCTTTATTTGTTGCAGTGTTATCTATAGTGAGTACAAACATTTTCTCTTTAATAGAATACTTTTCTAATGTATTCATTATTACTAAAAATATATCTTCAGCCATTTGTCCTAATTGAAGGAAACTTAAAACTATGTTTACTGTTCTCTAATTATCACTAACCCATGATGCCATAACGACAGTGTAATGGCACTAGTGAATTGTCGAATACCATCCGTCACATGTTAGTGAAATTCATCTGAGGTATTCGGCAAGTATACTTTTAATGAAATTGAATCTTGAATTAAATATATTTCCAGTAAGATATCGTAATATTGTGGTCGGATGTGGGACTTTATATAACTTCACAACATAATGAAGGTTTCTGGCCATTTTAAGAAATAATGGATTATCAAGAATATTGAAAGACATTCCTGTTTCAATAACTAAATCAACTATTGTTTTATCTATCTCTTCTTTAGTAATCTGCTGGAATGTATTGTTTTGTATATTATATAGTGGAGAACTAGAACACCTCAAGACATGTCCCTTTAAGTGTGTTATATTGGTATTCATTGAATACTGTTTATTATTGCAATGGTTGCATCTCTGAACTTTTTTATTATCTTTATTCTCGACAATTGAAAAGTGGTCACTAGTCTTATACATATTACAAACTATCTCTGTTCCGACTACACTTGATGCACTTGATATTGAAACACTAGAAATAGAAGATGCTGTCAAATCTTCTGCCATCGTAAATGAAATTAGAAAAGAAAATGGAAAAAGTAATATAATGTATACAAGTATAAAACAATATAGCGGTACTGTGCAAGAGAGTAATATAAGGTGAAAAATGTAAGCAAGAATTATAGTACTATTTTATACTTTTCTTTGTATTATTATTATTATTATTTGACCTTTTAATTTAATCGTTTATTTAATATATTTAGCTCGACACATATCTGATGCTATTTATTTACATAATCACTTATTTATTTTAGCTTGAATACTAATTCAATACAATCACTTATTGTTGCATTTAATATATTTAGCTTGATCACATATCTAATATTATTAAATGTTCACTATTTATATTTAGGGTATTCTCAAGCATCTCTCTTAATGTAATTAGCTAGTTATTGAGAGTGTTATGATTAATTGAGGTAATCCTTACGTCAGGATTCATATTGAAAATACAGGTATTAAATTTTAGCTATTCGGTACGACTCTATGACAAAGAGTACTCTCAAGCACCTCTCTCAATGTGATTAGCTAGTTATTGAGAGTGTTACAATTAATTGAGGTAATCCTTATGTCAGAATTCATATCAAAAATGCAGGTATTAAATTTTAGCTATTCGGTATGACTCTATGACTAAGGGTACTCTCAAGCATTTCTCTCAATGTGATCAGCTAGTTATTGAGAGTGTTATAATTAATTGAGGTAATCCTCACGTTAGAATTCATATCGAAAATGCTGATATTAAATTTTAGCTATTCGGTATGACTCTATGACAAAGGGTACTCTCAAGCACTTCTCTCAATGTGATTAGCTAGTTATTGAGAGTGTTGCGATTAATTGAGGTGATCCTACGTTAAAATTCATATCGAAACTGCAGATATTAAATTTTAACTATTCGGTATGACTCTATGACAAAGGGTACTCTCAAGCACTTCTCTCAATGTAATTAGCTAGTTATCGAGAGTGTTGCGATTAATTGAGGTGATCCTTACGTTAAGATTCATATCGAAACTGCAGATATTAAATTTTAGCTATTCGGTACAACTCTATAACAAAGGAAACTCTCAAGCACCTCTCTCAATGTAATTAGCTAGTTATTGAGAGTGTTGCGATTAATTGAAGTGATCCTTACGTTAAGATTCATATTGAAACTACAAATATTAAATTTTAGCTATTCAGTACGACTCTATGACAAAGGTACTCTCAAGTATCTTTCTCAATGTAATTAGCTAGTTATCGAGAGTGTTATTGTTACAAGTGAACTATAGCCTTCTTTGAAATATAATACTTGCAACACAGCACATGGTGACAGGGATCTATGTAGAGTCAGAATAGATATGAAGCGGTATAAAAGTGGAATATTACTTCACTAGGGCGATTCGGTATAGTTTCGATAAGAACAAGATATATGTTTATTAAGATATATTTATTTATGGTACAATATCAAGATAATAGGCTATTCTAAGGTTTTTATGCCTAAGAATCCTTTTAACTTAAAGATTGTAGGGAACAAATCCTAAAGTGCTAGAAAGGGGGAAAAAGCTAGGGTTTATATAGCTTTTACAACACATATCAAAGAATATAAAATATAAGAAACAATAAGAAATAATAATAAATAATAATAAATAAATAAGAAACAATAAGAAGTATTAAGAAACATAACAAAACATTAAGAAACATAAAGAAACATTAAGAAACAATAAGAAACATTAAGAAACATAAAGAAATATATTAAGAGTATGGATTTACAAGACTTGTAAATCTATTCCGGTTTATCGTCTATCAATTCTTTGCTTATCTTTGTTTATGCCGGTTACCCATTTATTTATTTATCATGTATTGTAGCTCATTTTGATCATCAGAACCTTCTGGATCTTCTGGGGTTAAAATATCTTATACATTCCTAGACGTTTAACACGTTCTATAACAATATAATAGTTATATAACTTTCATATGATAATCATAAATAGTAAAATTCAAAGGTTTCTGCTAAGTTGCTAAAACCTTCGATTTTTGCTAAATATGTTTACAATATTATCAATGTTATTATATGATAAATATATGTTAAACATATGTTAAAAATATCATTATCATATTTTAAAAATATTATTTTTGTTCTACTATCTTACTTTTAATTTGATGTATATTATATATTTATAATAT